AATATCAAAAATCTGCTCAAAGCATTTATTATAATTATTCTGATCGTTAAGCTCGTAAAGTATTAAATTCAAAATAATCGTAATTTTAAATTATAGGTTTTTTTGAAGTTGAATTTTTTCTAATTTTCCATGCGAAATTAATATGTACTATTACTATATAGATTTATAGATAAAGATAATATATTGCATCACTAGAAATTTAATTGCTAAATGTTAGATAGATGTGTCGATCCAACTTCTAGAAGGGCTGATACTAGTATAAACATTAGAATAACCAAAGCGAAGCAACAACTTGAAGGTTATTTTCAGGGTACTCAGCCCTAACAAAGCGATTAAAGAATATTTCGAGGTGTGCATATTGAATATTAAAATTTGCTTTTTTGAAAAAAGTTTGCAAGAAGCGGCAGTCTATTATAAAAGAATATTCATGTATTTAATGACACCACCGGTTACATACGCAAAAGAATTATTGCAGATTACGAATTATTTCTGTCATACATTTTAAAGGACAAAATTTTAAGATACCGATATACATGTACATTATATGCAACGTTTAGCCATTTGCATTCTTAAATAATCCAGAATTGATTTTCAATATTCAATTTTTCACGATGCCAGTAGTTTCCAAATGTCGTCATATTCTAGATTTCTTGGAATATTTGAGGCGAGTAGTGGGAGTTGAGTAATTAATTAATGTAGAAAATTCGTTTAATTGAGATTCTAATTCTCAAAGGAATTTTTTACCTTGGTTATAATTATGACGGTTATAAAGAAAGAGAACACTGTAGCTTAATAATATACTTCAGCTCTTCATAGCAAATTACATATTTATGATTATGGGGAGGTAAAATGATAGTTTCATCTTCGAATAAAAGATGTGCATAATTTATAAAACGCGAATATATTTAATAATACAAAAGCTTGTTCAAGTCCATGTACAAAGCAATTTTGAATTTAAATTTAACTTACATATACATGTACATGGATTTCACAAGTCAGAACGGATGCGGGTTGGGTCTGAATCAATCTAAATTGATCTGGATTTTGGAACTCCGGAAAACCCACACTCCAGGTGACTGGGAAACAAGGGACTCTTCAGGTGGTAATCCTCAGAGTAATCCCTTCCGGTTAACTCCCATGGGGAATCACTGCGGAAACCATTCTGAATTAACTCAGTTTGCAAAATCCCAATTCATAGTAACCCAGACAATCATGATGGATCGCATTATCAACGATTCATCCTTTTTTATTCTCTTCATCCCTTTACCCTTAACCCAATCTTTGATAGAATCAGCAAAACCAGAGAAATATGCCCACCAACCTCAACGCAAGTTTGCTATTAGTCGAAAATTTTTTTAGGAGGGAATCGCTTGTTATCTCAAATCGCTGTATGCATTATACATGTGCATGGCTTTGTAATTTTGTGGGAAAAAAATTTACAAGTTATTTTTCTAATGGATCGGTCACTTCTTGGCAATCCAGCCAAGCAAATAAATGTACCAATCAAAACTTATTCGATGCTAAAGAATGATTATAGTAGCACATCTGTTTGAAGCAATTAATCCCAATAGCTAAATATGCATCATAGACGTACTAATATAATAACGATAATTGTTCTTGGCATCTTTTAACCCTGTATGTTAACGTTAATGACTGTTTAAGTTCATGTACATGTACATGCATGCATTATTTAGAAGCTGTGTGTTAATATTGACCAAATCGAAAAAGCGGAAATAGCATGTATATCGATATTGATAATATATGTACATGTAGCAAAAAGGGTGCTATTTGCGAAAACTTTTTGTTTGTCCAAACACTTATATCAAAGTGTGTAATTACATGTATATGTAAAACTAGATTTTAAAACATTTTACACGATCTTCGGGAAACACCAAAAAGTGATTATATGTCAAATTTCCTATGCTCAAATAATTATTTTTCTTCTCCAAATTCTTCGCCAAAGCTGTCTATGACAACACGGGGTTAGCATACATTTAAAACTCATTTATTTATTGAGCTTATATGTAAGTTGAATCTGTGTCAATGATTATTAACGTTAACTTTAAGTATTGATTGTTACGTTAGATGAGATCATGATAAATGAGAATTAGATAAAGCGTATGGTTGAAAGAAATAATGAAATGATAACATGAAATGTCACCTACCAAGTTATTCGATGATTTATTCGTTTATTACATGTACATGTAATGCCTTTAAAGCAAAATGTCATGATAAATATATGTATTATAATAAAAAGTTTTTTAAAATAATTTGTCGTAATGCATATAAATTGATGCTAATTTATTACATTAAAAAATCTTTCTATAAAATTCAAATGCATATAGTCAAAACTCGTTACAATAATTAACTTTGTCAGAAAATAGAATGTAAAGAAAGAGACAAAGGAATATTTCTCGATAAGGAATGTTATTCTTCATTGATTGATTTATTACTACAATTTATATAGCATAACTTTGCGAATCCCGTCCTTGATTCACTTGAACCCGTACCTGATTCATCTGTGTACGACAAAATTTTAAACTTTAAAACCGCAGTTCTTGATTCACCTAATCTTCATTCAGGTTTTTGCCGATACCGGAAAATTTCAGATTAGGTCAAGGTTGAGGATATAAATTGCCTCACCATCATTTTTAATTAGTATTCCAAGCGTCTCAGATTTGATTTGAATTTCTATTAGCTACTTAATGATGACTAATAGAAAACGTGGGCGAAAAATTAGAATTTTAAACATTTCTCGATTACAGAAGAATCAAAGAGAATTTTGCGTGATGACATCCGTTATGTATAACTGATTAATAAAAATTAGGTGAATCTAAGAATAAAATTACATAAATTCCGTCGTATTGTTATCGAGAATCCATGTTCTTTTCGAAGTGACCGTTCACATTAGATCATCTTGTGATACTCTGCAGGATCTGATGAAATACATGTACGTATAATGATAAAGTATATGTATGGACAAAATAGAATTTGTGATGGTCTGAGAATGTTCATATACATGTAATACAGCAGGGTGGGAAATCTGATGGTGTACCTTATATTCAATTCTCACCACAGGGTCTTGAGATACCGAGCCCCAAAGAGACAGTATGGTAATTTTTAACCAGAACTTTAGGAATCTGATGATGGGCTTTATATTTAATTCTCGTTACTGGGACTTGAGATATTGAGCATCAAAGAGGCTATGTATGAAGATGGTCAAATAAAATTCCCATAGGCCTCTTTGAGGCTCAATATCTTGAGATCCAGTAACGAGAATTGAATATAAAGCCATCACCAAATTCCTTAACTCAAAGAGGTCACGCATAAAAATAGTTAAATAAAAATTCCTGTATGATCTCCTTGGGACTCAATATCTTGAGAGCCAATGATAGAAATTGAATACAAAGTCCACCCAAGTTCTGGTGAAACGAATGATGATTCTTACATTCAATTCCTGAGTCCCGAAGAGGTCATACATAAAAATTGTTCAATAAAAAACAAATCGTTAGCATGATAAATGTAATGCAAAAATTAAAATCTAGAGAAGAATAAAGATAAAAGTATGATGAATATAGATAAAATAATAAAAATTATCAAATAAATGATTTAATATGAGATTATGAAAATCTTAATTCTTTTATTACTATTAAAATAATATAATTAAAAATCGTAAATTATAAAATTTTGTATAATCTTTTATCACTAAAATAATACATCTATAATATAGTATTAAAAAATAAAATTCAATAAAGATTCCGATTTTGGTGTTTTTACGATGTTCTCTAAGTGCCAATTAATTATTTGGTTAATGATAATCTTCCTGCGTCAAATTGTTCTCTTTTTTATTAATGAAAATCACTATGCATTAATTGTTGCAGACAATAGCGATTTCATATTGGCAAAAATTAAGGAATTACGGGACAATAACATTACAATAAGATGATCTACGTGAAATTTTTGACCATTTTACATTTGCAGATCTCGGGACATGCGCAATTTAAAATGCATATGCGGAGTCTTGCGGAATCCGCATGTGCATATCAGATTTTGGTTGCGGAAATTAAAAACGTTTGCGGTCCGCAAGCCTCGCAAGTCAATTTTTAGACACGTTGAAAATCTTAAATATATATATCAAACAAACAAAAAAATCAATTTACTATAAATTAGCACAAAAATTAAAAAAGAATACATATTACATTCAACAAACTCATGTATATTTTTAATTCCATATCGAGATCTTTGATACCCAAATCCCTATGATAACATTCAGCCACTTTGACTTATTTAATTCCCAAATTCAGCTAATTTTAAATCATTTGTTCTCGTTATGACTGATGAGTTGATCATCATGATCGGCAAACAGTTACCGAATGCGGTATTATCGTCACCTATGGTTCGAAAAATTTGGTTACGCCAGTGTGAACTCTGACGGGATTACCGGACCGTTCGGTCCCACACAGCATTACTATATACATGTACTGTACATGTATGTACATCTATGATGGAATTTACATTCTCGCAATCTTGCAAATCTAGACAACAATTTATACATGTACATGTATGTACAATGGCCAATCATTCGATTTACACTTAAATCGATCGATACAGTAAAACATGTGTAAAATTTCTTTCACAATTTCATTATTAAAGTCACTCACAGATAGAATTTTTCTTTTACTATATGATTTGGAACCGGGCAAAAGTTTTTGGGAGCACTGTGCGTAATGTTGTTTTGGTTGTAATGATAACAATATCATTTAAATATCTGATATTTCTCTTAAATTTGCTTTTACAATATCCAAATAAATTAAAACTACGTACGTGTAACTTTTTCAGCAGAAATCTGCATCTCATACATTGATAACATACTGTTTCATATTTTGAAGAGAAAAAAATAAATGTATACATAAGCTTAACTCTTTTTTTATATAAATGGCTTATTTCATCTTAATTATTTATTCTTTTACGGAAAATATTGTTATGTAAAAATAGACTACTTAAATTACTTTTTTTGTAATTTCTAAATCATTTAATCGTTTTTCTAAATCGCTTATACGCTTTTCTAAAATTTCAGTGCGTTTCTTACATGAATCGCAACATTCTGTAGAGGGAAGCGTATTTGATAAAAATATTAAATTACTATCAGAAAATACGGGTAAAAAATTCAATTCTGTGTTTAAAAATTGATTATTTTCGCTTTGAGGATTAAAAGATGTAGTATCTATAAAATTAGAGGTTGTGAGAGATTCATCGACTACAAAATTCTCTTCTAGCCCATTATTTATACTTTCAGAAAACTTAATTTCGTTAGATTGTGGTGAAATCTGCCAAGGATTTGGATTATGAGCAAATTCACTATGCTGCTTTGACCAAAAGGAATAAGAACTTTCTTCCTTTTTGTCTTGATTTTCTTCTGATTTTTGAAATAGTTTTTGTTCAATACAAATTCGTGTATATAAATTTCTCGCTTCGGCAGCAATTCTTTCATATTCTCGACGGACATTTTCTGGTTCTTTTGACCAATGTTCTCTAGTAATCAACGAAAGTTGAGGTTGCGTAATGGTTGGATGTGTTATTTTTTGAAGTTCCTTACAGAAAACAGTACGATACGCAATAAAAGCGTTAGGGACTCGAGCATATTTCCCCGTTCTTCGAGTCTTTTCAAGAGCACGATCGATTAAATTTATAGGGTTGATATCGGGTGGAAACGAAATCGTCATTTCGATTTTTGGTAACTTTTTATTATTGGTTTTCATATTCGTAGCTATTCTAACTTCAGAACTTTAAAAAAATTTTCAAAGTTTCGACTGCTTCTTATATATTTTTTTAAAGAAGAAACGCGGTATGTTCTGTTTATTGTTGTAAGCAAATTAATCCGCACGTTGAAGCTAAATTAATACTTTCTATCCACAGAATGTGGTTTACTTGAAGTAATTATAAGTAAATAATTAAAAGAATGATTCGTGTTGATCATCTGCATACGTAATCATGGAACCCTAAAGTGAATATCGCTAAATGGAATAAAGTGGTTACGACCGAACTGACGCATTCATTATTAATAATTTATTAATGAATATTACTTTTTGTTAATAATATTTAGAAATTTGAATATGTTTGCTAAAAATAATTCCTTGTAGAGCATGTATAGTAAACGTTGATTCGGAATTGGATATCAAATAAGTTTAATATATAACTTACCAATATTGATTATTGTATAAAGTATATTATTCAAGTTGTAACTATTATTAGTTAAATCAAAGATTTACTTTTTCTAGAAAGAATATACTATGTTTCTAAATAAATTATAATTCTTGATAACAGTTCGGTAGTATACTATATTATTATTGGTGGTGATTAATATTTGCCGATATGACAGGTACGTGTTTCTAAATACGCGTAAAATAAGTAATTTCATAAACCAGCCATTTAATCAATGGCTTACATTTTTTTCTTCAGGAACACTGCTTAATATTTCAAGTGCCTATTTTGATTTTCATAATCTTAAGAGAACACGTTTGGCAATTATTTTGTAAAACAAAATGAAATTTACAAAGTTATAGATTTATACTCATAGTAATATCTTTATCACCATAAAATAGAAATATTGATATCATATCCCTTACAAAATTCAAAATTATAAATCATTGACAATAAAAATATATAGGAACAAATTTTATTAAGAATACGTTGTATATAAGTATTTCGAATTAAGGTTAAAATACTTATTAACAGATTTCCAGAAATGCACAGTAGAAATTAAAACGGATGATGCATTATTAACCAGATCAGACATCGAAGAATATGTATATAAAATATATTCTTGGAACTGGTACTGTAAAGCGTATTTTGGAGAAATGTTGCTTTACCCCTAATGACGTGCGTACGTATATAAAATTTAATAAAGTCTGAATTAGAGAGCCCTTAAAATTAATTTTAAGAATTTGTATACACGTAAATTAAATATGAAATATGAGAGAATTTTGACTAATTGTTACCCAGTGGGAACAATTGATTCGGTTCCTATTTATTAATTTCCATAGTTATTTTATAATTCGTATTCCGTTTATCCGCATGTTAATGCCGCTAGTTCCTACAACTCAGAAGGTATTAGACGCACATTTAATTTTATTTTATCTTCCTGTATTGATGAAAGATGAAATCTTTCATCAAGTAATTTTGTTTTGACGAATTAACGATTGACGAAACCTATGATGATTGATAAATCCTACTATCGTTTCTTTTATGTAAACAAATTACTATATATGCTTAATATATGTAATTTAGAACTAAATAGTCGATTCAGTATTAAGTTCGAATTACCTGAAACCTCTTAACATGCTATATTTAATTTACTAAGAAAATGTCAATAGCTAATGAATTATGTGTAAATTAAACTAGACTACTAGACTTGAAGTTGCTCGATTCGGTCCGGTTCATGCATAATCGGTTATGTATAATTAACTTCGGTTTACGCAGTTTATGTAACTAAGTCAAAATTGAATCACATTGCCTGATTAGTTAAAGACGCAACAAGAAGCGAGAGCTAGACTGAATGATTTACACAGCGTGGGTAACATTAGAGTTCTAAAGGACTCCTGCGCCAACCAACACGGAGATTGTGCAATCAAGGCGCAAATATTTTAAAGGGGCAAGGTAAAGAAAGTATAAATTCAATAATTTTAATCCAGAGGTGCAAAGCTAAGTTCATGCTTTTATGAGATGATGAAACGATGACATATTGTAAGAATTTTATTAATTTTTCACGGCACATAAAAAAACGCAAATTTTTGCGATAGTTTCTGTATTTCCGGAGTTAGCAGTTTCCCAAGCTTGAACAAACAGTAATTTCATAACTGTTTTACTAATACAATTTTAGTAAACTCCAGCTGAATCCCTCAAAATTAAATTAAATAATTGCGAATAACATTATTTGGGTAAACACAAAAGCTATTGCATTATAGATAATATGTAATTACCAACAAAATATAACTTAAATTCCAAATAATCAAATAACTAATTTACTAATACAATTCAAATATCAACCAGTCCAACTCACAAAAATAGATTCACTCCGAAACAATAAAATAAAAGATATCATGGATATCAAAGTCAAACAAAGAATAACCACTACTCAAAGAGTGTCAACGAAAATAGAATCAAACACGATACTCCAACTTTGTATGGCCTAAGCAGCAAAGCCTTCAATTGCTAAGCAAAAGAGAATTAAAGCTATCGATTTTGTTAAGGCACAAAAGAGATAAAATTCGAAGCAATGTCAGGTAAGATTTAAAAATAATTCAATTTTATTTATTTTTCTTCAAAACATACAAAGACTTGTCCCTCCATTTTACGAGAGCTATTCTTTTATACATTTTTGTTGTGTTCTACTAACTACTTGCTATTTTACAGATCTAGACTACAGATCTTCACGGAGCAGAATGCAAAAGTAGGGATGAGTTTACAAAAGGGCGTGGCTTCAATATTATTGCAAGTTAAAAAAGAAAAAAAATTAATTGTTATCAAATGTCAATTGTCAGTTATAAGTAAAATAATAATGAAAAGTAATAATATTTCTACGTCAACATAAAAGTGTGAATTCTATAAGAATTTCGCAAAGATTTCTTTGGATCAAAGATAACGTACGATATATTTGTTTATGGCTTCACGTTCTTGGAGGAGTTAAAGAGGAATGTTTGGGGGAAATTCGGACGGTTAGGAGAGGCAACGCTAATATTGATACCACAAGGTAGGAATTTTGTATGAATTTCGAAGCGAAGCAAATTATTCTAATCATTTCCATATTAGTATTAGGGATCGGACATATTTGAATCACGGGATTTCTATAGAATCACGAATTACATGTACATGTAGTTTCATAAAATCGCTAATCACGAGGTTTTTCGTTGCGACTGCTACAATATAACTTCGCGCTTAAAAGCATCATTTGTGAAAATGAAATTGTGCTTTATAACTTGTTTCAAACCTCCTTATGCAAGATATTTGACATTGATAAATCTTTTAAAGGACATCAAATTTTTTTTGCGTTCTTCTTTTATTAAATTGTTACCATCAGACCATTTAAATTTGTGATACTTATAACATTGATCCATTTTGACAATCAGTACATTTACATAACTGCAATCGCTTCGAATTTTATTTTGTTGGCAAAACTGAGTCCATCCTTTATCCTTTAGTTTTTGGCTATCGAAATCATTTGAATTATTATTTTCCAAGCCGCATCAATAAGTCCTATTGAGTAGGCTTTTGTCAGAAGCCTTCTCGTTGGGAATCTCGCTTGTTACAGGTCGGTTTGCGTACAAGTAGCCACAGAAACTTTAGAACATAAAGGGACCTTTTAATAGTAAATTATTCGGTCTAAAATAATTCTAATTATACATGTACTGTACGTCTAAATCAGAGTACATGCAGCGCCTGACATTGGGGGTAGATCATTGACCAATGAGATAGCAAATTTTTTAATCCATACGGGAACACAGATGACTAAGTTAGCTTGGAACACTAATAAAAAATGTCAAAGACAATCTTATATGTAGGCCCTAACCTTAACATACAAAATCAGTAAACTCTGGCTACATTTTTAACGGGTGAAGTTGTGCTAGTTATTGGGATCCAGTATGTAATAAGCAAACATTCAATACTTTGCGTTAAGTTACAATGAATGTACATTCACCTCACGAAAGTATCCGGAAATTTTATAATTGAATTAACATACATGATTTTGTATCTCGTGAGACATTTATCATTTTGACTACATGCCTTACCTATTTTAGGCATGATTTCAATCAAATTAATATACACACTGGCTGGAATTTAATTAACATTCTTCGTATGATGCTTCCTCAAGTTCATGGACGTATAAGACGATTTTTAGGCCCGAAAGCTGCGTTTTTGGGAATCCTTAAGATACTACTAATCGTAGAAATTTGAAAGATCGGTATTCATTACTATAACGATCAATTATTTTATTCATTTATATGATACAAGTAATATTTACGTATGTAAACAAAATTCCGATTTTAACTGGAAACCATAAAAAGATCATAGTTAATTGTTATAAAGAAATCCAAAAATCCTCTGTCACATATTATTCACATGCATGAATAACGATTACATGTACATGTATCTCGTTTTTTATTATCATTGTAATAAATGTCACTATTCTTAAAAACATGAATTCTAGAAGTTATTATTCAACAAAAGAATGCTTCGTGTTAATATATAAAGCAACCTATTTAATGGACCTTTGGATAAAATTTTCAACGGAATCATGAGGAAAATAGATTTAAATGAAAGTGAAGCAATGTGAAATTGTGTAAAATCATTTCACAATTCAAAGCAAATTATTCTAGAGTTCACAAACGAAGTTTAAAAATGAACATTTTTAAAGTGAGAATTGTTTTTTATTTTACGATACGATCAAATTTTCAAAAATAGCTTCAGACTTCTAATATGAGAAATGTAATTGCAAAAAACAAACTGTCTCGGATACTAATTAATAATTAATTAATAATGTTAGGAAGACAATAAGCTTGTTCTCTGATCCCTTATTCTGATATTATTATAATAAATCATCAATCAATTGCATACTAAACACTTTGAGAGACTGAACCACATGTCCAGGTTTTGGCCAACTCTTGCAATAATTGCACATGTCTTCAATGTCATATTTTATATGAATTTTAATAATTTTAAACTACGTAACTTCGAATGGGTATAATAAGCTCATGTCAAAAAGAACATTTGATATTCTGTAATAATAATCATAATCTTTCGATTTTGCAATTAAATTATCGCAATACTGATACTGCCTTATGCGGTCATACCTCAAGTTTTAAATGCAATTTCCGGGTGTATGTACATGTAAAATGTAACTTAGATCTTTAATCTCGCTAATTTTATAATTAGTAAAGTTTTTGGCACCTTGTATAAGATTACATTGTAGAACTTTTCATTTATTAATATCATACAAAGATATATAACATACCACTATAAAAGATTTAGACTGAGCAACAAAAATCGTATACATGTAATTAATTCAAATTTTCAGATACTGTTTTACATGCATGTATCATACATGTATAAAAATCAGATTTCTTTCAGGAATATTCCATGCATATATCATATAAAGATCATATTTCTTTCAAGAATATTCGTTCTCTAAGAACAGCTAAAAAGATTTATTTTTCCTCGTACAAGCATCAATGGCTAAATGTTGCATGATATTCTAAATTTTTCGGCACTGCAATAATAATGATGTACACTGCAGAAATGAAAGATGCAAAAGAAAAATTACATGTATGGTTATTAAAATCCTTAAAAAGATATCTCAAAGAAATCTGTAATGTTGTAAAAATACAGTACATGCACTTCTTATATCTTAAATGGATCAATTAAATTATAAGATCACAATGAATGTTCTTTTATAAATAGACAACTTGTCTACAAAACTAAAAAATTTGTTTTCCAATACAACAACAATCATGCAAATTTTTGATATTTTCATTTATACGTTGTTAGGATTAAATATTTTCTCTAATACCATTGCATTTCCGCTTTCGAAAAAGGGATTTCTCGATGGTACTCTTAATAATTTAGACGTTATTAATCCTATTACTACTTTGAATTCTGTTATTGATTCTGAAGTTTCCAAAAATAATAATGACAATACAAAAAATAAACGACAAACAATTGGATATCTAATCGAATAATATTAATCTTTATTCTCAATATAATTAAAAAAATTTTTTTGAACAAACTGACCTCCTTAATTAAACAAACTAAATTATAATCCAACTAGATATGGAACTTCGGAATCTAGTGATTAAACGAATTTGGTGCCGATTTAGCTGAAAAAATTTTTATGTAGATGGTTCTCATCAAGAAGCATATATTTTTAATTTTTTCAAGATAAATTAATAGCAAAAATATTTGGAGTAAATGTCATTAGTTAAAAATGCTATATGTAGATAATTCTCTAGCTCATTATCTTTAGAATGGGTGTAGGAATCAGGTACATTTAATCGAGGTTTAAGATGCTTGAATTTTTTATGTAAAATTTTTTACTGTATGAACTCAATTATTACGATCGAATTTATTATAAGATAACTAATTAAAAATAATAATATAAATTTATTAATATATAGATACAGTGGAATCAGCAACGAATTTTTTAATAATCATATAATATTTCCGAAAATGTTTTCTAATTGCAAATATTTTTTCTTAATAAATTCTATTTTTAACTGCAATGCAATAATTCAAATCTGAAACTTTTATTACAATCACTTGGCATATCCTCGATTTCGTGTGATATACTAATATCGAAATCTGTTTTTTCACCACCTATGAAAAATAATGAAATTAATAAATCAAGGAAATTGATAAAACAATATCAAATGTAATTTTACCTTCACTTGGAACATAAAAACTAACATTTGTAGAACCTATATCTTTAAAGCAATCTGAAAAGTCATTTTGAATGCAAAATACTGTAAATGTGCGTACCTGTATCAGTTAGGTTGATATTAATTTTGAAAGAAACATTAGTCTGGTGTAAATCGCATTTGAATGGATTTAATTTTCTTCATAGGATTGCTTTTTAGTTTCATCTCATCAAGTTCTTTCCATCTTTGCTTTAATTTATTCATACTGTATGTTTAAAATTTTCTAAAGAGCTATAGTACTGACAATGCAAAGCATTTAGTCTCCTTTTACTGTATGGATTTCTGATAAAGTAAGTAAATCTTTCAAGTTCCTCAGCAGTTTTTCTGTTTCCTGGAATAGGATTCCCAACATTTTTCAATAATAAATTTGCACCATCCAGGAACATTATTTGGTATCGTAGGTCGTACCCCCTTTAAAGATGTCTAATGCATGACTTCGATCACCAAATGATCGTTCACCTGTTATAATCTCGTATATAACCGTCCCAAAGCTATAAATATCTGCAGCTTTAATGGATGGCGTTTCACTTAGTACTTCTGAACGCATATAAGGAATTATTCCGTAGATTTCTTGATTTTTATGTCAGTTGTGTCAGTAAATCCAAAATCAGCAATAAAAGCATTAATATGTAATAACATATTTCCAAGGTGAAAGTCACTATCCACAAGTTCGTTTTCGTGAACTTCCATTAGAGCATAGATAATATATAGTAAATATCTTAATTTCTCTTCCGAGTTAATTCGTCGTAGTTATAGCTAATATATTTGCGAATGTTGCAATTGATATCATAGTAGTTTTCACCGTAAAACTTGAAATAAAATTTTCTGGATAACCCATTACTAGCAACTTTGACTTCTATACAGTCACAACCTCTTTAAATTCACACTTTTTTGCTGTTCCCAAGGGCACGATGAAGACTGATTATTAAAAAAGCATCGTTCTTACACATAAAAAATGGTAGAATTTATACCTCTTTTATAATTTGCTTTGATTCACGTAATTTCAACACAACTTCGCGTTTATCTTCAATAGATTGTCTAAATTTATTTCCTTTATGATCTCATTTGTAAGAGCATAGTGATACATTCAACATTGGTAAATTTTTCAAAGGGATCAATTGGAAATGACTTCTGAGTTTCATTCATTCATTTATTAGACTGTCGACATCCTTATTTTTGTTAGATAATTCAGCTTTATAAAGTTGATAACGATAATTAAAACATTCATTGCAATGTCGTTTTCTTGACAAGAGTGCATTTGCTACAATCAAGTAGTTTTTGTAAATCATTCGCATTCTCTTTAATTTCATCTAAATATGTTTTGAATAGTAATGAAATAAAGAAACTAATAAAATAGAATATTAAATAGTGATTTACCTTCATTTACTTCGTCTGTAATATACAAATTGATGCTGTTTAAAGTATCGATTTCTATAGATTCATGCAAACAAGCATTTGATTTTTATGCATTTTGAAAATAATGATTTTATTTTCATTTGGAACATACAAAGTGACTCTTGTAGAACCTAATATATGATAATCTACCTGTATCAGTTGGGATTGATATTAATTTTGAAGTAAAGAATCGACTAGTGAAAAATTGCATTTAAATGAATTTGTTTTTTTTGTTCGTATTCATAAGAATTACTTATTGCATCATCAAGTTCTTCTAACTTTTGCAATTCTAATTCAATACATTCTATAGATAAATTCTTTAAGTTCCTTACAGTTGGTTTGTTTTCTAGAATAGGATCCCAACATTTTCAATAGCAAATTTACACAATTCTGGAATATTATTTGGTATCGTAGGTTGTACTCCTTCATAGATGTCTAATACGAGATGTATATCATGACTTAGTTCATCAAATGGTCTTTCAACAGTTACAATTTCGTACATAATTATTCCAAAACTATAAATATCTACAGAGCTAGTGTATGGCTTTCCATTTGTTTAGATTTTTCTATATTTGTTGGAATTCTAAGTCCAGAATCAGCAATATAGGCAAACTAAGAAATAATTTATTTCCAAGATGAACGTCACGATGTACAAACTTTTCTTGCGAATTTCTTAATTTTTGATCCCAAGTCGATTTTTCGTAGTTTTTTTTAATATATTTCGGATATCACCATCTTTTGCATAAGTCATCACTATCGAATATTCATTCGTAACTGGTGAATCATTCGAGGCGAGGTTGATCCACCACAATCCGCACTGTCTGTCTTGGCTGGCTTCCTGAGTTGTACCACTGTCGACGGCAATTTGAACCTGGTCAAGAGAACTTGATTGTATCAGAAAATAAAAGTAAACTTTAACTTTAGAAAATATTCATCTTTACCTCGTATATAAACTCTTGAGTAATTTGCTTTAAATTGAATTGAATTGTCTAATGATTCAACAACAAAACTTCAAATTTTCCTCTTCATGTAAATTTATTTCTTTCATGTCCCATTCACTATTTAATGGTCCATCCAACCAACTTGCTTTATAAATTGAACAAAAACCTCCTTTTGCAAAATATTCACCGTTAATAAATCTTTCAAAAGGAATCCATTCGAATATATCTTCATGTCTATTAATAGTTTTGTTGATTCTTTTATTAGATTATCGATATCTTTATCTCCGCTAGACAATTCATTGTTATAATTTCGTCTGTGACATTTGAAATAGTCATAATTTCCTTGATAATAAGTGTATTTACTACAATTGTGAACTAAACACATATCACAGTGGAAATTTTCTGGACAAAGCCAACGTTCATTACAATCATGAATATTCGATTCCATCTTTGAGTTCACTGGATAAAATGCGTAAATTGGTTGAAATGATAGTAAAATAACGATATACAGCAGCGGTCAAAAGTAGCCGAGCGATCCCTTATAACTTTTTATATTAAAATTTTTTGTTTTGCATTTTTTGAAATAATTAAAAATTATTATATTAAAATTTAAGTATTTTTTATAATAATAACAAAAAATTAATAATTTAATAAGCCAGTTATTGAAAAAACAAATTTTGAATTTTGATTTTAAATTATTTTTTATATACATATGTATATTGACGCTCAAAAGTAATGCATCACTAGGATGAAAAAATAAATTGGGGAATTTTAGTAACATAAATGCCACAGATAGATGAAATTAGCCTATAAAGCATAAATAAATAGCACATGCAATTTAAATAATAATATAATAATACTTTACTTAACTTGAACTTTTATTATGCCAAACTGATAATGCATTTCTTTTAATCATTTTCTTCCTCAAAATCAATATATAAATAGATAAAAAATACATAACAAAACAAAGTACATCTTCTATAAATAAAATACATCCACTCTTTTACCCCATATATTAAAATTATTATGACATATATTTCTATTGAAAAAAATTTAAATTTATATTCTACTTAAAGAAGAATATTGCTTTTATTATATTATAAATTTATGAAAATATTTTTCAATTCTCTATTATAAAAATAAAGCAAAAAAAAGATACTTATAATATCTTTAAAGATTTATCAAAATCAGATTATTCTAGAATTTTTAACTAGTCATAATGAATTAAATATTATATATATTTCAGTTAATAGTCAATTCATTGTAATATCTATTCAAAAAAAACCAAAATTAGAAGATAAAATTGATATTAACACAAGTATAATAAAGTGAATTTTATATTATAATAATCTTTCTTTATGAATTAAGTAAAAGAAATCATATTTTAAAAAAATATTTTAATCCAATATTTAATTTCATGAAAAATATAGTTACTAAATCATCAATAATTGAAATAAAGTTATCTAATCTAATGAATTAAAAGTTATAATTTTTAGTTGAATAAATATAAATACTATTGAAAATATAATAAATCTTTTAAACAGTATTATATTAAATTTATAATAAAATTTAAAGATAAAATATAATAATTTAAAGTTACTTTGAATTTTTTAATATTAGAAATATTATATAATATATTATAAAAAAATAAATATTTATTTAAATAATATAAAAATTTAAATATATATATTTAAGAATATAATAAATAACTTTATTTAAAACTAACTTAAATTCATATCTTATTAAAATTTTTTATAATTTATATTTTTATAATTAAAATTTTTAAAATAAAAGCTTGAAAAAACTATTAAAATTAAATTTAATTATTATTTTATAAATTAATTAAATAAACTTATTTATAAAATTATCAAGCATATATATTTAAAAATTTATATAATTATTTTTTTCAAAAAAAATCTAATAAAAAAT